TAGACTTTTTATATCCACTGTGTGTGTGTGTGTGTGTGTGTGTGTGTGTGTGTGTGTGTATATGTATGTATATAATCTATAAATACACACACAGTACATTACACAGACTCTCGCATGCGACAAACTTTCATTTCTGTATGTAGTGGCTTTTTATTTGTTGGGAATCCTTCAACAGCACATTGTTTGTTTTAAACAGATAAAACAACATATAGAAGCTAAGTGTGGCTAATTTTAGCATACCTACCAAAAATAAGTCCATTAGTTACAGCTTTCATAAATAACTTTTAACCTACACATCACAGAAAATTCTCATTTTAATGCATAGCTGTAGTCAAGAATCCCCCGTAAATGCCAGTTATTAGATCTTCTATTTGCATACACCACAACTAAAGAGTCACTCATCACCCACTGTCAGCTAATACCATCTTCTATTCAATGAATAGGATAGATTCGTCTATTGCCTTACAAAGCCTTCACAATAGCATAAGGTAGAAAACAACAGAAGTAGTAATAAAACATTAAATACCAGGGCCCATCAATCCATTTATGTCTTTGGGATGAAATGTGTTATCGTATAACAGAATGATTATATGAAAATTATGCCAATTATAAATTAATTTCCAGGAAGATGTGTTGGGCTATGAACAGCGATTATAATGACATTTTAATGAAAGTCAGCAGGACAGAGTTTTGTGTGATGTGAGCATTAAAAAATTGTCAATTCTGTAAATGCCCCAAATCCTGCATCATTCTATTATGATAATAGCGACACTTTCCTGCAGTGCCATAGTATGGCTCATCCTCTCACCTCTTGCACTGTCCTGCTGGCCAGTGGATGGTTTTACTGGCCAACAGGATGGTGCTGGAGTAGAGAGAAGGGGAATCGGTGTTGAGCACTTCCATCATCAAATAGACTTGCCCACCACTTCATACTGTAATAAACATTGGAAATAAAATTTCCAGTGGACCTTTTGTTTTTATCATTTGGTTTCCAAGCCTATGGCAGGAATGGACCTGACTTAGGACCTCTATCCCTTGGTGGGGAAGAAGGGGAGCCTAAAATCTATGCATTTTCTTGAACATTTATGGGATCTTAGATGGCAAGAAATCTTACAAACATGCAAATATACAAAACATACCAACTTGGAATAAAATAAGCTGCAGCTTTGTTTTTTTTCCTTTTTTTTTTTTTTTTTTTTAGCTCCTTCCTGCTGGTGCCTCCCAGCCCGTTAAGAGGTTTCAGACGTGGGGAGCTTTTCTTTACCTGTAGGTAACTGTGCAGGGAGTGCGCTCTCGGCACAGCATTGTTAACATTATAGGGCGCATATATGCAGCCTCTTGGTGTTGTATGCATACGGCAGTTGGGAAGAGGTTAAATATCATTTAATTTGCAATAACCATAACTAATTTTTATTTTATTTCAGGTAGTTATATATTGCCATCAATTTACGTAGCGCTGTACATATATATTGTACATTCACATCAGTTCCTAACCCTCAAGGGGCATACATTCTAAGGTCCCTAGCTTACATTCGTACACATACTAGGGCCAGTTTAGACAGGATCCCATTTACCTACCAGCATGTCTCCCACATGGAGTGTAGGAGGAAACCAGAGTACCTGGAGGAGGAAAACCCACACAGGCACAGGGAGAACATGCAAACTCCAGGCACAGGTGCCATGGCTGAGATTCAAGCCAATGACCGTAGTACAGCCAGGCAGAAGTGCTAACCATTTAGCCACTGTGCTACTGATTTTCTTGCTGATAAACTGGAGTACCCAAAGAAAACCCATGCGGGCACAAGGAGCATGCAAACTCCAGGCAGGAGGTGCAATGGCTGGGATTCGAACCAACAACCGTAGTACTGCCAGGCAGAAGTGCTAACCATTTAGCCACTATGCTGCTGATTATCTTGCTGATATTCAAACAATAATAAATTTGACAAATCCACTCTGCGATTTAAGGCTCAAGCCACCATAGCATTAGATTAAACATTTTCTTACCTGTCCCCTTTTGAAATTCAAACAAAGGGACTCTCCACATAAACAAGCTACGATGAGGGAGTGGTGGGTGGGGAGCTCCTCCGGTCGTCCCTCTCTGGTGACTGACAAAGATCCCCCTTCAGCAACTTCCTTTTATAGGGGTTCCTGGCTTTCTGTAACATTCTGGGGGGGGAGAGGTAACCTTAAATTGACCTATCTCTAATGACCCCCAGATATTCCAAAAGATTCCTAACCACCTGACCTAGGCTGACCTATAATGTACCCCCCACTGAAATCAATGGGGGGCCTAGAAACTTCTATTGCCACAATCCCATGAGGGAAAGGGAATGCCTTAAAACGGGCTACCCCCTTTTTCCTCAAATTCATAGGATACTATGTGGAGCATATAATCACGGCTCTTGACAGTTGTAGCTTTGACAGGTCCCTTGGTCCTTAGGCCCCAAGTGTGGCTGCTATCCCCTTTACTGTCCCTCCAGTAAAATTCACTTTCTGCGCACCAAGCAGATAGGTGCTGTAAAAGGAGTCATAGATTTGATCTGTAATTTCATGTGGTGAATCACAGGGAATGCATTGGGAAATGTCACTAGGGTGGCCATAACCAACTGGCACTAGAATCCTTCTACACTGGGAAAGTTCCACCAGTGCACTGTGTATTAAAAATGACTGACCCTAATGGGAGACGTGGAAGGAGGCTCTGACTCTGAGGAGGATTGACTTTACAACTGTCAAAGGCGAAAGGAGCTGTTGATATTTCATATTTATTTCTCCTAAAGCCCATTCACTTAAAACACTAATGTGAAATTCTACTTTTAAAGCTAAAAAAAGCAGCAACAGTTCATCGCAAATAGATCCAGTTTTAGTCTTGTGTGACCGAGCTCCCAGACAAAACAAAAATATGTTTTTTGAAGTGACTTCCAATACCACAATGGTATGGTAGGTCATATGTTACTGCCTAGGGACAAGCAAGGCATGTGAAGAATTTACCAACATCCTGCTCTAACAGTGTTTACATGACACTCATCGGTCCCAAACCGTTACAATAGACCTTTTCTGGAGCCTGCATATGTTTTTCTTGTCAAAGACAAGAGGTAATATTTATCAAGTAGAGAATGTTTTATGAGTGAGCAGTTTATGAATTCTGCTTTCACAGGTGCAGAGATTGGGAACATGTCCCAGAAACTATAAACTTCTGCTTGAATTATTTGTCTAGTGACAGAAAATTGTGTATATAGATGCTGTTAATAAAATAAAGGATAAAATGGATATTGAATGTAGTATTCCATAATGCATACAGAACTTGGGTATCTTGCTGATAACTTTGCTATGAAAGTAATATGACCTTATGTTTTTAACAAATCTTTTTAAAGCACTATTAAAGCAAACATTTTTTATATTGCAGCTTACAATGTCTTTGATGTTGTGGCTGCATTAGTTTTCTTTTTTTAGGCTTTATTTCTTTTATTTTCACCTGGCAATCCTGCCAGTAGGTCTGTTTTTCAAAAGAGCAAGCTCTTCTGCTGATGTAGCAGTTATAGGGTTGAGACAAACCATTTACTACTGATGGGTGCCCAGAATGATTGACTTTTATTTAATTATGTAAAGGCTTTATCCCAAAATGAATGTTCATATAACAGTCCATATAACACTCCTCTCCCCCCCAGATTGGCAATGCTGTTATACAAAGGTGTCCCCTATGCTCCTCTAATATAGAAGGTGTGTTACTAATAATGTATAACACATCTTTCACCGTAGTCCACCCAACAACTATGTATAATGTGTCCTCTGTAGTTCATTTGATAACTTTTTTTTTTTTTTTTTGTGTGTTTTTCAGAGACCACCAATTCCAGAGGATGATATTAAGTTGAAGGACAAGGAACAAATTAGTGCCAACTATTCAGAACCTATAGATATTGTCTTGACAAGCAACGACACTATGGATTTTGAGGTGTCAGAACCTAGAGGAGTGACTGTAGTCAGTTCAGATATTGTAGCTGACAATCAGAGTAATTTACTCTCTACTGCTGTAAGCCATAATGGACTAAAGGACAGACATGAATCACTAGACAGTGATGTTGCTAAAGAGATACAATACTTAGATGAGGTGTTGGAAGCAAATTGTTGTGACTCTGCTTCAGACAACCCCTTCAATGGATCGACTTCTCCAGAACCAGCTGCTACTATAACTGTTGATGGTTCAGGTCCTTTTGTTAGTGTTACCAATGACTGCTGCACTCCAGAAATGGATATTATAGCAGTGGATCGTAAGCCTCTCCCAGTTGTAGAAATCGATAAATCCACAGAAAGCATGGAACCAATTAATATTAATGGACATTCTAGAGAGGAGTTGAAAGATGATCACACTGATGTGTTTACATACCCTGCCAGCCCAAATTCCTCAAATAGTTCACGGAGGTCATCAAAAGATGGAGAGAATATTCCAAAAGTCATTAAAAAAGAAGCAAAGTTTGAACTTCGTGCATTCCATGAAGAAAAAAAGCCATCAAAACTGTTTGAAGATTTTAATGAAAAGGACCATATAAGAGTGAGAAAAAGTCAGACCTTCAGAGGAAGTTATGGAACTAGAAAAGGAGAGGATTGAGCTTATTAAAAGCCAAGCTGTGAAAAAGAACCCAGGTATTGCAACCAAGTGGTGGAATCCACCTCAAGAAAAAACAATAGAGGATCAGCTAGAGTCTGAGCACCTGGAATCACATCTGAAATATAAAGAGCGCAAACAAAAACAGCAACAAGCCATATCTTCACCACCAATTAAAAGTGTTTCTGTTTCACCTGTTCCCTCAGAAACCTCTACTGTGAATAAGGAAGACATTGTTACTGAACAAATAGATTTCTCAGCGGCAAGAAAACAGTTCTTAAACATGGAAAGCACAAGCCAGACTAGCGTCAGGGCCCCACCAAAGAGATCAGTTGCTCCCAACCTTTTTTCTGTGAAACCTTTCTATAAAGTAAGCCATGATAACAAAGCTCAGAAATCTTTCACACTAACCAAGCCATTTAATGAGTGTGAGACTGTGAAACCTGATGAGGTATCACTAGTCAAAGCAGAAAAAGTTCTCTGCTCTTCTGAAGACCAGCAATGGACCCATCAGGCACTCTTACTAAAGTCATCAACCGAACACTCTGGTAAGGCCTTGACAAAAGACAATGAATTTGTCAGTGTTTCGGGAAAACTTGCAGTTGTGAAGGATGATGATGCTGACATTTCAGATCGTTTTAATAAATCTGTTACTGTGTCTTCTATACCCGAGGAGCTGGACTCTGGTTTAGATGACCTATCTGTAAAATCTCAGGACACCACAGTTATGGAGACACTTTCAAATGATTTCAGTATGGACAATATTAGTGATAGTGGTGCATCAAATGAAACTATTAATACCTTACATGAACATTCTCTTGGTGACTTCTCACAGCCACAAACCCCTTTACATGAGAATGATTACCCAGGAGAGGGAGTGTCCAAATCATTTAGTGATCAAGGCTTTTATTCACCATCTTCTATGCTGCATGACTCTATTGTTTCTGAGGATCCAATAGAATATCAGGCTGGTATGTTGGTACAAAATGTAATTCAACAAGCTCTTGCTGAAAAAGCTGGGATAAGAGACTACAGTATACAAGAGCATCCAGCAGTGCCCAACAATGAAAGGAGGGAGGACTTCAATGAACAGAAGGACATAGCAGGAGATGATCCAAGGCCATTAACTCCACAGAGTCAAGATGAGACCGTATTTGAGCCACCTCAAGTTTCTTCACCAGTGCAAGAAACAAGAGGTACTGCAGTGACGGCAAAGGCTTCAGAGCAAGAGCCTCAAACTAGACAACACAGAGTCCCAGAACCTTTGTCTATACCTCCAGTAACTGATGAAGATCCCATTGAAGAAATTAGGCAGGAGAGTTACTTTAGCAAGTATTCCCAAGCTGCTGAACTTAGAAGCACTGCATCCATTTTGGCAACACAAGAACCTGAGGTAACAGTTGGCCCTTTCAAACTTAGATCAAAGAAGCAGAGAACACTGTCAATGATTGAAGAGGAGATCAGAGCTGCACAGGAGAGGGAGCAGGAGTTGAAGAAGCAGAGACAAAGGCAAAGCTTGGAAAGTCCAACAAGTCCATTAAGTAAGAATGTACCTGTAATGCCAACAAGAACAGCCTTCTACAGAACAGCCCCAGGTATGTTTATGCTTCTAAAATCTTTGACTAAAGAGCAAACTTCAATTTTAGATGAGTGTAGGGAAGGGTCAAACCCCTTTCAGTTTCTTGTAGTCTGTGTTCCAATAGGGATATTCTCCTGTTGTGAAGACAGAACAAGAAGTGAAAGTAAAGCTCTACAAAGTGAGCTTAACTTGTCCAGAAAGTGTGTCCCCATTGAAAGATTTACCCTCTAGTCATGTTTAAGGGACTGTAAAATTTTCGCTTTCCTATCAGTTTGTGTTTTTGTGATAATAGCCAGCTGGACAAATAGACAGGTGTAATCTACCCAATGGAGACCGTAAAAAAAATCTTGATGGAGGATCCAACTGTTTCACACTCTACCCAAATAAAAAAAAAAAGTTTGGGATATATATATATATATATATATATATATATATATATATATATATATATATATATATATATATATCCTTTATATATCCTTTATAGTAATAAAAGAGAACTGCTTCAGGAGTTTATGGAGCTATAAAAAAAAAAGTATTGCTTTACTAGAATAAAGAAAATGTAACTATCTTCTAACTGTTCCTAAAATAGTTCTTAAAATATCACATTTGAATGTATTTGTGCCGCCCTGCCTCTCCACCTTGTCCCATCAGAGAATGCTGTTCATACATTCAGACAATGCAAAGCATTCTCTGAATGGCTCCCCTGGCAAACAGCTTACTACTTGTGTTTGAAATGCAGCAGGGCAGCCACTTGGCCTGGGACACGAGTAGCAGTGTCTACTTAATTGATTTCCAGCTTCTATGTATATACATAGTTACATTAATCTGAGCTGTAACAATGTATAGAATATCCATATCTGGAATTCTTCTTTAACCACTTCCCGCCCATATCCTCAGGTCGTAGTGGTTATACCGGGGCAACAACCTCAGTCATGACCCCGGTATCAATCTTTTCAGCCAGTGATGCAGAACAGTATAAACATGGCCTGAGTGGATACAGAGCCCCTTGATCACTTTTACATGGAGCGGAAGATGGTCTCTCCCTACAGTCGTCGGCCGCTTTCCTAGGCTCTCCCGTTCCACCAGGGAGCCAGGGACTGAAGCCAGCTGACCATAGAGCTGGAGGAAAGATCATAGTTCCTAGATCATCTCTATGGTCTATAAAACAGACAATAATTTTGTTGCTTTCGGTTTCAGTTTGTTGTTTACAAGCCATTACCCATATGTAACAGCAGCTGATCAAACTAATCTCCGTAGTAGACCCCAGATGTCTCAGTAAAAGAGAACCTATCACTCTCCTTGCTAACACAAGAGATGATGTTCATCCCTTGTGACTGCAATAAAAGTGCTAAAAAAAATTAAAGAGGCAGTGTTAAAGTTTACATAAAAAAAGAAAAAAAAATTGTAGAAAAAATTTTTATGGCACCCTCCCCCCCCCCCCCGCCTTGTGTTCGCAAAGGCGAACACCTACATATGTCTCACACGCGTATGTACATGGTGTTAGAGCAATAATTCTAGCAGCAGGCTTCCCTTGTAACTCTAAATTGGTAACCTGCAAAGACTTACAAAATGTCACCTGTGGAGATTTCGAAGTACCATAGTTTGTTGCCATTTCATGGGCTTGCACAATTTTAAAACGTGGCATGTTGGGTATCCATTTACTCGGCATAACATCATATTTTACCTACCATTTGGGTATTATATTGTGTTTTTTGTGCATTAAAATTCATTAATGTGTATTTATTCCAAAAAATTGTGACATAAAAAAATACCATACCATGTGATATAAAAAAAATTGCAACACTCTCCAGTTTATTCTCTAGAACTTAAATAAATATATAATAATTGGGGGTTCTACGTAATTTTCGAGCCAAAAATGCAGATATTTAAATGTCTGAGAGAAGTGTCCGAATTGTCCTGGTTAAATAGTTTTTGATTTGATCATTTATTTAAGAATTAAAGTGGTTGTAAACCTCAGACATGAAAAATGAACAAAGCACATCCCACTATAGTGTGTACTATTCTGAATCCAATCCCCTCCCTGCTATCTGTATAACTCACTCATAATAGATTAAGCTGATGCCTCAGCCTGTTGGGAAATGACCTGCCCTCTCTCCATCACACAGCCTTAGCTTTGTTTCTGTGAGCCTGTGAAGAGAGGGTGTGTGCAGGGGCGGACTGACCATTCTGGCACTGCTCGAGGAGCCGGGGTCAGTAGGGGGCCCAATGAGTTGTCAGTCCGTTCCTAGGTGTATCTTTCTTCCAGTCAGCTCTCAGATTACACTAAGTTCTGTGCTTTAGGTCTGCAGTGTGATATCAGATCCTCACTCCACCCAGCTGCTTTCTGCTGCTGAGAAAAATCCTTTCATCTGTGTATTGTAGAAGGCTGTATAGTACAGATGTATGTGGAGAGATATGGCACAAAAGTAAATGTGATCAATTTACTGGAAGGAGATGGCTTGAGGGTTCCGGGTTGGGTGGTAGAGTGATTCCAATACACTGTAGTGCGTCACCTCTCAAGAGACAGAGGATTCTCTGCAGTAATAGATAAGGACAGCAGAGGGCGCATCTGAGCGTAGCAGTACAAAAATGAATTTATCACATGACAATTGGCAACTTACAAGACAATGGAGTGATATCAGGCATATATATATTTAAACATCATTCAGGTTCAGCTTCTGGGGATGGACATTCCCAGAACAGGATGATCTTCTTTGGAGGGGATTGCAGCACCTGCAGCTGTAATGCAAAGGAGACACCACAGGGCAGCACACTAAGTGTCGCAACTGGTGAATGAAAAGCAGAAGTAGAGGGTTAGGAACCTAGCAACATGTGGGTCCAATTTTCCATTTATTCATCCAGATATAGGAGAGCCGAGTGGGGTTCAGCTGTCGCTAGATGTAGATGGGAGCACTGGGAGCCCACAAAATGGCTGACAGTGGATAGCACATGGCTCAGGAAGTGATGTCACATGTGTGGGTGTGGCTTGATATTTCGAGGCGGGGCTGCCTTTCTCAAATCAAAAGGGCCATTTGAATGGCATGGCTATGATGTCAATCCCCTGCACGTGCACAGGAGTCACCGTTGCGGCATGGTGCTCACAGCATTCACAGCACACTGTGTTCCATGAATGCAGAGAATACTCCGCATGCGCCAGTGATGTCATCATCTGGAGCTAATGTCAATACCTACTAAACGGCGCAAGTTCAAACTCCTCCACAGCCACCTGCATGTAAGACTTTTTGTAAGATAATCTGTAGGACTAAGGTAAATGCTTAACTTTACTACTACTTTAATAGAATTATAACGCTCTTTGTATTTGTATAGCAAGCATTTTTCAAATGCCTCTCTGATCAAGTCCTGGGGGGCAGGGTGAAATGCGTCGGGGGGGGGGGGGGGGGGCATGGCCTGAGTGGCGGCTCAGGCTATTCCACACCTGAACCCTGGGGTTTTTTCAAATGTTAAATAAATTTGTAATGACATGTAAGGGCAAACTTCAGGTAGACACTTAAAGTGATAATGAACCTTTTGTTATTTTAATTTAAAAAAATAAATAACATGTATATACTTGCCTCTCTGTGCAATGATTTTGCACAGACCAGACCCGATCCTCCTCTTCTGGGGTCTCCTATCAGCACTCCTGGCCCCTCTTCTTCAGTAAGTGCCCCCACGGAAAGCCACTTTCCGTAGAGGCACCCATGCTGGCTCGCTCCTGAGCTGCCCTGTCTGCATCCATTGACACAAAGCTGGTGTTTCGGCCCCGCCCCCCGTTCCTGTGCCACAGCATTTGATTGACAGCAGCATGAGCCAATGGCTCCCGCAGCTATCAATCTGCACAATGAGGAGGGCGACAGCGGCTAGAGCTGCTGCTCTCATACACATCGCTGGATCAGATCGGGCTTAAGTAAGAAAAAAAGGGTATGAATGCATTAAGGTGAAAAACCTTGAGGGTTTAAAGCCACTTTAAACAGTCAGATGTGTAGAACAGGTGAACAAACATACATGCTTTATTGGTAATGATAGCAATCCCTATTAATATATGCAGAAGGATTCCATGAATAGTCTACTGCACTGCATTTTTCTCCTCTGCCTGGCTTCATGCCATCTGTTGGAAATTACAAGCCAATTAGCTCACTGGGAAATAGTTCACCAAACAAAAGTGTGTTATGTACATAAGTATTGTCTGCTAAATCTCTTTTCAATAGAGGCTTTTCTACAAAGTACTAGTGGATAAGCCCGCATTGAACTGTTGTGACAAAAAACAGCCATCAACAAAATGTGAAGCCAGCCTTCTAATGCCAAGTATATTTCCAATGAGTGTGGTAAATCTAGCAATTATTCATTATTAGTTATAGGCGCAACTTGGTATCCCTCAAGAGCACACAGAAAGCAATACAATCCTGATGAGGGGCTCTCAACTGTCCTTATTCTATAAGACCATTATGTTTAAATTCTTGTGTGTGTGTCCTTGTGGGGATATTCCCTCCCTGTTCTGCTTGACACTTGTCAAATAGAAAGGAAGGGTGGAGAAATCTCCCAAATGGGCACACAGACAGAATTATTGCATCCAATTTTTTGTCTAAGCCTTCGCTACCCTATCCAAAACTTAAAGGAAAAAAGATTTTGCAGGAGTGAACCTGTGGTCAGACTAGGGGCATTCAAATATTTTATAGATTTATAACAAGCCGTAAATGAACAAGCCGTCCCTGGCTTCTGTATGAGAGCAGAGAGGGCTGATCTGTTGAGAGATTGACTTGAATGAATTCAATGCTTCTGCTGTGAACTTTGAGCATTAATTTCTCCACAATGCCTGCAGTTAGAGGTCACTGATGAGAAATCTCATTCTTAAAGTATGGAGCAAAAGCACTGAGGTCATTCAAGTTTTCTCACCAGTTCAAAGTTCTATACTCCCCCTAAAGTGGTCAGTGAGTTGTTTTGAAGTTTGTGCTATCTGTTAAGAATATATAAATATTTGAAAGGCCATAACCTGGGAACAGTTGCTCTGTCACTAAT